ATCCAAGAGTCCTTGCCCCAGCCCTGAGGACCATCCCTAGTGCTAAATGAACCCAAAAAACGCACATCTCCCAAAAGGATGTGAGTCCGCTTGTGCCACTTTAAAAAATGTCCCCCTTATTGAGTTACGGCAGAGAAATAGTTCCACAACACAAACACGTGGTTGGAGTCAGGGAGGGGGTGAAGGAAGAATAACAACTACTGTCCTGTCAAAGGGCACGGATAGTCCACAGCCTCTGGGGACGCCTTAGTGCAGCCAAACACTGAGGGTCGGCCGGGGAAGGGGCGCAAAAAGGCTGGGACCTTCCCACAGCGTGGCTGGCAATGGAGGGACAAGGAGAGACGCGGAAGCAGACTCCCATTTTCTCCCTCAAACCACATAAACTCACTCTGATCCTCCTCTCAGACTCTTTATTATCTCAAGTAAGAAAAATAAAAAAATAAATAAGATAAATAATGCAATAAATAAAGAGGAGACCCAGTAATACACAGCGGGCGTCTTCAGGAAGTGTAGCTGGGGCTTCGGCCATACGAGGGTCCCACCATGCTCAGGGGATCCGAGGAGCCCACGTCGGGAGGCTCCGGGGCCAAGATCCCTGGAGGATCCGGGGGCGCCTGGGGCAGGCCCGGCAGCGGCAGGAAGCGAGCAGGTCCCCGCGGGGCCGGGGCCCGGTTGGACGAGCGCTGGGGGGGCAGGCGGAGTGGAAGGCCCAGGGTCTCCGACTGGTAGACGTTGTATCCGTCTTCAAGAAGCAGCTCCCGGAAGCTGCAGGCTTTGGGGTCAAAGTGCAGCTGCGGGGATGAGACTCAGATCAGAGACGTGGGGATTCCGACACTCCCTTGCTCATGCAGGACTCCCAGACCCATCCTCTCCCAGACCCAGGAGTCCAGGCCCCCCAGTCCCAGGACTGCTGGGGAGCTGGGGGAACCCCTTACTTTCTCAGCTGCATCGTTGAGGTCCCGGCAGCCCCTTCCTCCCGGACTCCAAACCACGGAGGCAGGTCCCTCCTTTACCCCTAGGTGGCGCTGCGAGGCCCACGCACTTCCCCGCCCCCCACTTCACAGAGACGAATATTCCCGCCCAGGGATCAGGGGAGGCTCTCGAAGTTCTGGCAGGGGCATCTGGCTCGCACCCAAGGTCAGGTTCACTTTACAGGCCATCGATTCCCGGAGCGACCCTTCGCCCAGCATGAGCCAGGCCTGTGGGAACCCATGAGGTCAGTCCATGTTGCGAGTCACAAGACTTGGCCTCCCGGGTCATTGACTTGGGGCCGGTGGTCGCCCTGCCAGAGCCTCCGTTTGTTCTTGTGAACGTTGATGACCACAGCGCCCTCCTCTGGGGATCGTGGCCAGGTTTGGGGCATGCGGAGAATGTCAAACCAAGGCTGACCAACATCAAAGGTGCAACCTCGTCCCTCAGATTGTGAGGATGGGGAGAGCGAGCGACGGTGGAGGGCAAGGACGGGGATCTTGGAAACTCACCGATCCGTACAGCTTCCCGTCTGGCCCCTGACACAGAAACCTGGATGTTTTAACTCCCAAGATCTGAATGACGCCTGGTTTCAGGGCTTTCAGCTCCAAGAGACCTGAGGGGAGAAAGTGGTCAGGGACTCAGGAGGCCTTTGCTCCTTCCCCCAGACCCAGGAGTCCAGGCCCCAATTCCCCACTGCTTCAGGATCAAGCCCTATCTCCCCAAACACATACTCACTTTCAGGGCTCTGGCGGGCCGCCCCCACCACTGTGCCATCGGCCCTGATCTCCAAGTGGGCCTCTGTCTCCTGGGCATCATCCGTGTAGAGGTACCGCTGGCGAACTTGGCCCCCAAACTGGAGGAGGGGGCTGGAGTCCGGAATGGGATGCGCCTGGCAGGTTCCTAGCAGAAGGACAGCCAGCACAGGGACCCTCAGTCCCAAGTGCTTGAACTTGGCCCCGTCCCAGCCCATCAGTGGGTCACGTCCTCAGGTAGGGTCTGGGGTCTGGGGTTTGAAGAGCTGAATGGTCTATATCCTGTTTCGGAGCCTGATTGCCCCGGACAGCAGGTTCTCAGATGGCTGCTCCAGTAGTCTGGGTCCCCTTGCACGTGGACTCACAGATGACCGGACACCAGATCTCTTGGGATGGATGCAAACACTCCAGAATTTATATCCAGACAGACCCGCCCCATCACCTTCCCGACGCCTGACCCGTGATATTTGACCCACTTGGCAGATGCTAGGATTCCACGGTGTCCAGGTCAACCTGGACGGATGATGCAATCGGGGGTCCTTCCAGCTGGGGGCCTGGCCTCCACTGTGTGAGGCACCAGGGGGATAGAAATCTGATGAACTGGGACCTGGGTGAAAGCAGCTAGAGGGCCCAGACTGTTTGGCCTGAGGGAGGAGGGAGCTGGGGTTTCAGACTCCTGGGTCTGGGGAAGGAAGGGGCTGGGGACCTTGACTCTGCAGCCTGAGCAGGAAGGGAACAGGGACCCGCCTTTCTGGCTAACTGAGGAGATCATGCCCCACAACTGGAATTTCCGCATCTCACCTGAAGTTCTGGGTTTTCTGAGGTTTGCTGATCATCAGGAAAGCAGCTAGCTCCACAGGATCAAAGCGTCCTTCTCAAGCAAACAGGTGTCATGATCTGGGAGTTACAAGACAAGTTCCTGAGTAACTGCAGCCCAGGCATTCATGCCCCGAAACATCCCAGCTTCCTCCTCCTCCTGGGTCCTGATGCAATCCTGATGTTTCTTTCACCACAGACGCTACCCAGGATCAGACAGGTGCCCTCAAAATAGCCTGGGGAAGCAGGGGGTGGGTAGGGGTGGGGTGGGATGGTGAGAGTCTTTGACTCGGAGTTGGCAAATGACTCAGGCTGCTCAGGGAGAAGTTAGACCCAAGATCCCAAGGGGAATGAGGGGGTGAGCAATTTCCTGGAACCAAAGGGTGCAAGGTCTATGGTAAAGACCACCACCCAGGTGGCTCCGTGGTAAAGAATTGGCCGCCAATGCAGGAGATGCAGGTTTGACCCCTGGGTTGGGCAGATTCCCTGAAGGAGGAAATGGCAACCCACTCCAGTATTCTTGCCTGGGAGGTCCCAAGGACAGAGGAGCCTGGAGGGCTGCAGTCCATGGGGTCGCACACGACTCAGCAGCTGAGCAACAGCAGCAAGGGTACTAGAGTCTGATCACCTGATCTGAATAAGGGGGTGACTGGAGGGCCCAGATTTCTCAGTCTGAGGAGGGGGCTGGGGGCTGGGGAGTCCTGGATCTGGAGGAATTATGATCACATCCTGGAGAATCAAGTCCAATCCCTGGGTCTCTGATTTCTTGAATGGCAATAGTCAGACCACTCGGGCCACGGGTGGGATGGGTGGGGGTGGGGAGCAACAGTCGCAGGGGAAAAGGCTTCAGGTCTGCAGGAAGAGCCCAGCGTTTTTTCCTTGAAGAGGCCTGCTGCGACCTCTGAGGCAGGCAGGGAGGAGAAACTCTATTCTATTTCTGCTTTCTCCGTTCTTGACCTCGGGAGAGGCGGGACGTGCCCTTCTAGAAAGTAGAAAGTCAGGCGCCGGATGCTAAGATTCCCTCGAAAGGACACCCTGGGACTCTGGAATTTGCGAGTGCAGGGGGGCAGGGGTGGGATCAGCGGCCCCTGGGGGTCGTGGGGACACTTTCGGGCCGGAGGTTCTCACGCCGGGATCCTGAGAGCTGGAGGAGGCTTTGCATCCGCGCGTGGAACAGCCTGGCGACCAGGTTCTCCACCCACGCACCCACCCCCACTCCCGGGGGGAGCACGTGGCAGGGGGCCGAGGATCGCGCTCTCCGCCGGCACCAGGATGCCCGGGTCAGCACCAGGCGCCCGGGCGTGGCCGGACTGGGAGCATCCAGGAACACAGGGTCACATCCAGGATGGTGAACGCAGACACCGGAGTGGAAGAGGGAGAAGTCGACGGACCGGAGCATACGGATCCAGCTTGGCAGTTGCAAGCTAGATCTCAGTGTCCACGAGAAGATGCGGCTGCTAGGGAGGCCAGGTAGGCTGCCTGGGGCTGGAGGTGGGGGGGTGGGGGGGTGGGGCGGAGCGGGCTGAGGCGAAGGTTCTCCGGGTCCCGGGAGGGCAGGGGGCGGGGGCTGCAGTTCCCAACCTGCCGAGCCAGGACTCGGCGCCAGGGATGGGGCGGGGCGCTGCCTCTTTGAGCTACCTGCCGGGCCCGGGAAGGGCAAAGGCTGTGATTCTCGGAGCCGCGCCCACTCTCCTACCTCTCTCCTCCCGGAACCTTCGCAGCCAGTCGCGGGAGGAGGCGCGGAGAGGGAGGGCCGTCGGGTCTGGGAACCTGGAGTCCAGGTTTTCGAGGAGGGGGGTTGAGGGGGGCTGAGGTGGAGGGGGGCGGAGGTAGGCCCCCCGCGGGATGTGGTCTGCAGTTGCAGCCGGAGCGCTCCATTCAAGCCCAAGCCGACTGTGGGTCCGCCACTCGCCAGAAGCTCAGGTGAGTGAGAAATGTGGATGCCTCGGACCCAGGAGTCGGGCCCTCAGTCCCAAGAGGCGCACCCCCAACCTCTAACCCCCTACGGCACCCGGGAGTCTCCTCCACTCCCGACCCCCCAACTCCTGCTCCTCCAGGAATCAAGGTCCTCCCCCATCCAGGCCTGGGTCTCCTGCCTCTCACGTTCTACTTGATGGTCGCTTCCTGTCACCTCCGTGGTGGCCTCTGCCCCTCACACACAGGTACACCCAGAAAGGAGTTGGGGGCAACATTGTCCCACGTCAGGGCACCCAGATATGGGGACAAGCTGGTGGTTCCTGGGTCACTGTCATTTTGGAAACCACTAATTTTCACCATCTTCCATTGCTGGAAATTCCAAGCCCTTAGCTCTTGCTCACTCAGATCCAAGAGCCCTGATTCCTTTTACCCTCAAGCCCAGGAGTCCAAACTCGTTGTTTCCTGGTTCCCTCAGCCCTCTCCCCCCCGATAGTCATTCTCAAGCTCTAATGTCGCCTCATCTACTCTTCTTGTTCGGCAGCCATGTGGGCTCCCAGCCACCGTCACCTCTGTCTGGTCTTCCTGCTAGCCTGTGTTTTTGCCTGCATCTGCGTCCTCCTCATCCACCACTGCCTCTTTCACAGTGGCTTAGACCTGTCCCTGCTGTGTCCAGACCATAGGCGGGTAACCTCCCCCGTGGCCATCCTCTGCCTGAACCCCAACACCACCTTTTCCTGTCCCAAGCATCCTGCCTCCGTCTCAGGAACTTGGACTATTGACCCCAAAGGCCGGCTTGGGAACCAGATGGGGCAGTACGCCACGCTGCTGGCCCTGGCGCAGCTCAATGGCCGCCAGGCCTTCATCCAGCCCTCCATGCACGCCGTCCTGGCCCCCGTGTTCCGCATCACGCTGCCTATGCTGGCGCCGGAGGTAGACAGACACGCTCCTTGGCAGGAGCTGGAGCTTCATGACTGGATGTCGGAGGAGTACACCCACTTGAAGGAGCCCTGGCTGAAGCTCACGGGCTTCCCCTGCTCCTGGACCTTCTTCCATCACCTGCGGGAGCAGATCCGCAGCGAGTTCACCCTTCACGAGCACCTGCGGCAGGAGGCCCAGCGCTCACTGAGTGGGCTCCGCCTCCCCCGCACCGGGGACCGCCCGAGCACCTTCGTGGGTGTCCACGTGCGCCGCGGGGACTACCTAGAGGTGATGCCCCTCCACTGGAAGGGTGTGGTGGGGGACCGCGCTTACCTCCAACAGGCTATGGACTGGTTCCGGGCCCGGCACGAAGCCCCCGTCTTTGTGGTCACTAGCAATGGCATGGAGTGGTGCCGGGAAAACATTGACACCTCCCGGGGGGATGTGATCTTCGCTGGAGACGGGCAGGAGGATGCGCCTGTCAAGGACTTTGCGCTGCTCACACAGTGCAACCACACCATCATGACCATTGGTACCTTTGGCTTCTGGGCCGCCTACCTGGCTGGTGGAGACACCATCTACCTGGCCAACTTCACCCTGCCTGATTCCAGCTTCCTGAAGATCTTTAAACCTGAGGCTGCCTTCCTGCCTGAGTGGGTGGGCATTAATGCGGACTTGTCTCCGCTCCAAATGTAGGCTGTCTTGAGGAACAGGGAGACTTTCTGAAATAGCCTGATCCATGTAAGGCTAATGGTATGCATCTCTGGAAGTCCAGAAGATTCTAGAGAAGCTTGTGGTCCTGCAGGTGGTGGACACCCATTTCTAGAGTCATTCTAGTTGGCTAGACTTAGTAAAAAGGGGCATGGGTGTTTCCTGCCACTGCTGAACATTCTAGAATCAATGGAAAACCTTTGCATGGTGGGTGGCGATGTCTGGAAAAGTTCGTGGCAGTTCTAGAAGGCACAGTGCCCACCTGTTCTTCCCAGGCCATAACCAGAGTACTTCTAGATCACTGCCCGCAGTAACAGGGAATTCACCATTCCAGTGTTGACCATCCTGGCCTTTTTTGAGAAGAGATAGTTTTCTTCTCTGGGTCAGCAGGACTGAAGGAACTCGGGTGTTCTGCAGCAAGCACCTATCAACTCCCTTTCTGTGGCTCTGGAATGATTCTAGAGGGGTGGGTAGATGTTTTCTGGAGAGGGTCAACTCTAATGCCTGTAAAGAGCCCTGTAGGGCCCTTCCAGAGGGTATGGGATTCTAGAATTCCGGGTAACCTCAGTGAAGAAGCTAACAAAGAGACAACCAGTAGGTCAATAGCTCACCACTGCTGGAAAGGTTGATGGAAGACAAACTTATCTGTAGCGGGGACAGTGTGTGAGCAAAGCGGAACTTTACTTAACATTTCAGCCCCTGAAAAACCACAGATATGCTAAAGCATGAGATGGGAGAGGGAAGGGATGGTGCTGAATGCTGCAGCCTAAGGAGCAAGGCTCTGCAAAAATCTCCGGACACTGTTGTTGTTTTTTTAAAAAAAACTCCAAAAATGTGCACACCTTGACTCCAAGTTCAATTTGTGTCTGCCAACTAAGGAAGTTTCCTCCTCCATAGCTGGGCTGCTGGGGGTGATGGAGTCGATTTACTGAGGTGGCTAGTGGTAAAGAACCTGCTTGCCAATGCAGAAGATGCAGGAGACTTGGGTTCCATCCCTGAGTCAGGAAGATCTCCTGGAGGAGGAAACTGCAACCCACTCCAGAATTCCATGAACAGAGGAGCTTGGTGGGCTACAGTCCACGGAGTCATAAAGAGTTGGACGTGATGGAGTGACTGAGCACACACAGCATACCGCTGGCATAAGAGTGCCTTCTGGGCTTGCAGAAAACAGTGGGTATTGTGTCCCTTGCCAGCCACTCTCTGTCCCTGAATTCACAGAATCTCTAAGTCTGGCTTTGGACAAGTGAAGGATGAAAGAATCAGAAGGTATGCAGATTCCAGACTGGTCTCCAACCCAGGCGCGTGGAGTCTGGACAAGAGAATGGGATTTTTTTTTTTTGGCCATGCAGGACAGCATGGGGGACCTTAGTTCCTCAACTAGGGATGGAACCTGCAACCCCTGCATTTGAAGTTCAAAGTCTTAACCACTGGACCACCAGGGAAGTCCCAGAAAATGGAATTATTGACTTAGATTTTTAGAACTTCCATGAGGCTTTTTGAAAGAAATGAAGGTAGATACCTTTATTACAGAGTTGTCAGAGAATTTGAGACCTTTTCTAGTTTTCTCAGGGAGTTTTGGGGGACCAGTCCCTACTCGACTGCTGTAGGTGGGAGAGAGGGATATATGAATTAAAATCCACACCACCAACCCATCTCTGCAGGTTTTTTGGAGACTTGTGTGCATTAGGGTGTGTGAGTAGGAGTAAAGGTGTGGAACTTCGGGGGACTTCTCATTTCTTGGAACATGAGTTCCTTCTTTCTTAGTGCCCTACTTGTGTGATTTGTGGTCTCAGAGACCCAGTTCCTTCCTCGGAGACTCTCCGCATTGGCCCCCAAACCGCTTTCCCCTGGGACCCTGGTATCCAGCCCCACAGGCTGGAGAGAGAAGGTGGGGTGGGGCGTGAACAAAGATTGTAATCCTTGAACTACATTTCCCATAAGGTTATGGGGTCGGCTGCTGTAATCAGCTAGGGAGACACCCGGGGCCTTCTGGGAAGTGTAGTCCTAGGGCTAGAAAGGATCTTTTCCTACGTTTTCGTGGCTCGACGACAGGGTTTCCAAAGGGCCGTGGGCATCTAGCCCAAAGCCTGAGTCGGGGCTCTGAGAGGGGAGGAGACTGAAGGCTTGAAGCCCTTTCCTTGGCTGTGGAAATCAGAGCCGACAGGGATCTTCCCCTTCGGTAGATGCTGCGAAAGTTCTTCTCTGAAAAGGCAGCTGTGACATCACGGAGCGATAGGTGGGCCCTCCCTTTGTCGCGACCCAATCAGACTAAGAGTTGGGATTCTGGGCGGGGCCAAGCAAACTCCAGGGACTCTCTCTTGGGAATCTGGGGCCTCACCGTGGGTAGCCGGGAGGAGGAGGCTGTGGGCGTTCCTAGTAAGGGGCAAACCGTGACTGTGACCCCAATCAAGAGCTTTCTCTACCACGCAACCAACCTTACCTTCACCCCCAACAAAACTCTTAATTGTAGTCGTGGGAAAAGATTAGAGTTGGAAGGACGTGGCTTGGTCATTCCCTCTAAAAGCTGTCAGAACGTGGGCTCTTCAGCGAACCCTAGTGTTCGAGGGTACAACAGGAGTCAAGGTCGGGCGTGGATGCTTCAAGACTCCTCGGTTCTCTAATGAGAAGTGTGAGCCCTGCCAACTGGGGCTCCGTTAGTCTCGGGGAAGGGCTTCTCTCCATTTAGCGTTCACCTTCTCGGGTGGGCGTAAGAAGACCCTCCCCGGAGTTCGGCACGGACTGCGCACTCTGGTCGCAATGGGGCCGCGGGGGCTTCCCCTCCTGGTGGCGACTCTGGCCGGCTGCCTGTTTCCTGCCAGGGGTTGTGTCATTTGCGATCCAAAGGTCAGGGAGGCGCTAAACTCTTTGGAGATGGATTACCTGCCTGGCCACCTGGAGGCCAACCATCACAAAAAAGTGATGGAAAAGATAAAGCAGGCAGTGGAAGATTTCAAGGACCTGCCGATTGGCGAGGACTCCTATATGGGGGTTGTCGGTGAGGGCGGAGATCGACTCCTGGATCCTGGGAAAGGAACGGTTCTGGGGCTAGGGTCGCTGGGAGGTGCTGGAGAGAAAGGACTGAATGCGGAATCGCCTGGGTTCGGGAATGGAAAAGGCTGGGATGCAGATTCTGGGGTTCTCCAATGGCTGGCAAATACAGTTCCCCTACATTTTATCCTGCAATTTTATGTAATAAAACTACAACTCCCAGAAGGCAACGGGGTGGGGTAACCCTTTTACCAGACCTACCCTTGTCCACTGGCCCCATGGGTACTGTAGTTTCTAAGACTAGGTGAGCGGATGAGACAGTAATGCTTGAAATCTGGGGGTTCTCTCTCCCCTGCCCCCCCCCCCCCACAGATGAGGCCACACTAGAAAAGTCATCCTGGAGTTTGCTGAAGGATATGAAACGCATCACAGATAGTGATGCAAAAGGTAAATGCTCAAGCGGGCCGGAGAGGGCTTCCAGAAACTCAGGGAAGCGATTGCTGGTGACCCCTGGTCTGGTGGTCAGGTACTGGACTCTGGAGCCAGCATTCTGTTAAGTGGTCTTTATATTTTTATTGTCCTACCCTGAGAAGACCGGAAAGCTGAATGCCAGGCTCTGCAGACAGAGGCCAACTTCGGGGGCCTCACATCTGGGAGGGGCAGGAGGGTGGGGGTGAGGACTGCTCTGCAGCCTGCCTGCTTCTTCCCAGGTGAGCTCTTCGTGAAGGAGATGTTATGGATGTTGCACCTGGCAAAGAATACCTTTGCCAGCTATGCTGCTCAGTTTCAAAAAGAGGGTGAGAGAAGATGGGAGTCTGGCACCACAGGCTTCTCCTTTCACAGTCCTAGAGTCCCTTTCCCCTGCCTTCTGCTTCTCTGACCCGTCAGCTCTCCCAGCCCCCTGCCCCCTCAGACCCAAGGACCCAGATACCCATGTCTTTCCTTTCTCGAATTCAAGAGCCCCAGACCTAGCCTGTTCCTTCACCCCTTCTCTCATCGCTTTTAACTTAGAAATCATATTCTCTCTCTCTCTCTCTCTCTTTTTTTTTATTGTTTCTTCCGAGGCAGCTTTTTGTCCCAACAAATGTGGTAAGTTTCGATTATGAGAAATGGTCGTCCATCCCTCATCCCTGCCCTGTCAATACCCAGTGTCTCTTTTGGGTCTGTGTCTCATTCTCCCCGTCGAGAGGTTCCTGGGTCTCCAATATTCCTTGGACTTCTTGGGGGAAATGGTCACATAGTTTTTGCACTCTTTACTGAGCCTAGTTAGAGCCGACTTCCTACAGGGCTATGTTCCAGCCCTGACTGACCTCCTAGGAGATTCGGCTCTTGATCCCGCCCCAGCCCTTGGCCCCGCCCTCTCCTTTTAGCCCCGCCTCTCAGTGGGAGAACACAGCCTCGATCTTGCCCTTTCAGGTTTGATGTTGCAGCCTCTCATCTGGTGCAGTACCTGCCAGAAGCAGGTTCACGCTTGTCTAAAGTCTAAGAATTGCGGAGGTGAGAGAGCTGGGCCCAGCCGGAGGGGTTGGTGCCAGAGGGGCGGAGCCAGAGGAGAGACCGAGTCTGAAGAGGGCGGAGACTGGAGCCAGACCGGGACAGGCGGGGCGAGACCAAGGGGAAGAGGGGTGGGAGAGGCCCAGAATCTTGAGGGAGCACCCCACAGTAACCCCCTATTCCCAGAGCGCGAAGTCAAGGTCCATCAAATGGAAGACATGATCCTGGACTGTGAGCTCAACTGGCATAAAATCTCTCAAGGCCTGACCGATTACAGCTTTTACAGGGTGGGGCCCTCCAACTCCCGTTATCCTTGAACTCCATCAGGCTTGTATAAGCACCCCTAGCCCCTGTATCCACAGGCTTGCATCCACAATGCCCATAACCTATGGCCGACCAAGTCTGACTTCCTTTTATCCCCTGGGACCTCACGTCCTGAACAGTACACCCTGGACTCCCACCTCCCCACTGAAGCCCCATGATCGTCTCACCCCCGTACTCCCCTAATCACTGAATTCCCCAGGCCTCTGTGACCCCTTGAGCTTGGGTCTAGGTTTGGAAGAACCATTCTGAGACCTTGGTGTCCAAGGGGAAGGAGCCCATCCTGACCAAGACCATGGTGCGTCCAAAGGATGCAGGTACCTATCGCTGCGAGCTGGGTTCCATAAAATCCAGTCCAGCCACGATCATCTATTTTCACGTCACAGGTCAGTGCTGCGGAGTTGAGAGAAGTGGGATTCAGGGTCCTGAGTTTTTGGGGCGCCCGGTTCCAGGCGGGTGGCTTGCCTCAGGGGCGTGGCCTATGAACATAACTTCCTGTCGGGGTGTGGCTTCAGGCCACGAGGGTGTGGCTTCCTGCCCCGAGTAAGGCTCCTGGTCACCCGGCCGGGGCTCCCCTCTGGGTGTGTCCCGGCTTCAAGCAGCTGGGAGGCGTGATTATGTCCCGGAGGACCTGGGTCCTGGGGCGGCTTGCCGCGGGGAGAACTTGCCTTGGTCTTGGCAGGACCTTAGCGCTCTCCCAGGATCGCTTCTTACCTCTCCTCTGTCAGTATTGCCCAAAAGAATCCAGGAGGAGATACCGTCACCAAACACCGAAACTCAGGATGAGACGGCCCAAGGAGAGGTGGCTTTGGATCGCCCCCACTCAACCGTCGAGCCACAGACTCCGAAGCCGGAGCAAGTGCTGAAAAGACGCCTGTTCGGGGTGCTGATCTGGGGCTTAGTGGTGGTCACAGCCGGCGTTCTATCCGCGTGAGCCGCCCACTGAAGAAGGCAGGGCTTGGAGTGAGAGGCGGGGTTTCCCGCTACCCAGTGCAGGCGGGGGTCTGCGAGCCGAGGAACGCTGAGAGCTGGACTGCCTTTGGGAGCCGGGCTCACCTAAGGAGCGCGAAGCTTGGATCACTGCTAGAATAAGATCAAACCTAGGGAGGCTGGGAGGGGTGGTCCTCACTCAGGGAGGACCTAACCTGTTTCCGCTCTGTGTGCTCCCATCAGGATCCTTTTCTCTCGGTCTGGCAAAGTGGTCGATTTCTTAAAGTCCCGGTTCAGCACTGGCAGTCGGACTGTTTAGAACTCGGGGGTTTCAAAGGAAAAGATCAAAGAATCCAGGAGAAAAATAAATATTTATCTGGTGGTCCAAGTATCTGACTCATTCCCCCGGACTGATTCCAACTTTTGGTCTCCCCCCACCCCCAAGAGAAGTTTGGGGATGGTCTTCTGTCCGAGAAAAGAGGGGCTGGGGCCCCCGGGGCCCTGTGGGGCCTGGAAGGGGCCAACTGGCGGCGATTTGATTCCAGAATCAAGGAGTGGGGCAGGGCCAGCCTTCCCCAGATCTCCTCCCCCAGGCCCGGTCCCCTCACAGGACGCCCCCTCCCCGCTCTTCCTGCCGGTTTCCTCTTGCCTTTTCCTGTCCCCCACCCAGTGCTGGGAGCCGGGGCAGAGGCAAAGGCTGAACGGGAGCCGCGGGGTCAAGAGCCAACCAGGGCAAGCGGAGACAGGGCCCCCGGGTGCTGTCGGGACCCGAAGCAGGGTAAGAGCCGGGGACCCAGGAGTCCGGTCGCCTCCTCCCTTCTTCAGACCTAGGAGTCAGTTCCCAGCCACCCTCCGTTCCAGCAACCATAATCCGGGCTCCCATCCCCTCCTCCAACCAGACTCTGGAGTCTGAGCCCTATACCCCACTCCGTCTGACTCAGGAGTCCAGGTCCTCCACCCCATCCCTACCTCCGGAGACCTCAGGAGCTGGGGTCTTCCCCACCCTCCCTTAGGGCCATGCTGTCTGGTGAACGGAAGGAGGGCGGAAGCCCCCGCTTCGGGAAGCTCCATCTCCCGGTGGGCCTGTGGATCAATTCTCCCAGGAAGCAGCTGGCCAAGCTGGGGCGACGCTGGCCCAGCGCCGCCTCTGTCAAGTGAGTGCCCACCTCCTCACGACGCTAGCCCCTGCCCCACCTGCCCCTGTTTATGGCCCAGTCCCTGCACTGGGTAACGCCAGGGACCCGGAAAGAGCTGGCTCCAGTTCCTGTCCTGAATGGGCAAGTGAGATGGTGGGCGGTGGGGAGACAGTGAGGCCCAGTGGTGGAGGGTCGAGCGAGGGGAGTTCTGGGCCTGGAGATGGGTTTAGGCCGGGTGGACACGGGACCCGGACAGAAGAAGTAGCGGTTTGATTCACCTTCCTTCCTCCCCTCCCTGCTCACCTCTTGGAATTTTCTTCTGTGGGACTCGCCTTTATTTATTTATTTTCTCTCCCTCTCTCTTTGCCTCTGGCCTGTGCCCCACCCCCACCACACCCCATCTCCATACACCCCGTGTCTCTCGCTCATCGGTGGCTATCTGTTCCCCACTATCTCTGGGTGTCTGTCCCTCCCGCTCCGGGTCTCGGTCCCCCCTCCGCACCCCGGTCTCTGCCCACCTCCCTCTTTCTCTAACCCCCATCCCCGTCTCTGCATGTCTTTCGGGCCTCTCTCCTGGGTCTGTGCTCCCCGACGGGCTCACAGGTCGTCGTCTTCGGACACGGGGAGCCGCAGTAGCGAGCCGCTGCCCCCGCCGCCGCCGCACGTGGAGCTGAGGCGAGTGGGTGCGGTCAAGGCAGCCGGGGGAGCCTCAGGGAGCCGTGCCAAGCGCATCTCTCAGCTCTTTCGGGGCTCGGGCACCGGAACCACGGGCTCCGGTGGCGCTGGAGGCCCTGGGACCCCGGGGGCCGCGCAGCGCTGGGCCAGCGAGAAGAAGTTGCCGGAGCTGGCGGCGGGTGTAGCCCCCGAGCCTCCACTGGCCACACGCGCCACGGCGCCCCCGGGGGTCCTCAAGATCTTCGGCGCCGGGTTGGCTTCGGGCGCCAACTACAAGAGCGTACTGGCCACGGCGCGCTCCACCGCGCGCGAGCTGGTGGCCGAGGCGCTGGAGCGCTACGGGTTGGCCGGCAGCCCCGGCAGCGGCCCCGGCGAGAGTAGCTGCGTGGACGCCTTCGCGCTGTGCGACGCCCTAGGCCGGCCCGCGGCGGGCGCCGTGGGCAGCGGCGAGTGGCGGGCGGAGCACCTGCGCGTGCTGGGCGACTCGGAGCGCCCGCTGCTGGTGCAGGAGCTGTGGCGGGCGCGGCCAGGCTGGGCGCGGCGTTTCGAGCTGCGCGGCCGCGAGGAGGCGCGCCGCCTGGAGCAGGAGGCCTTCGGGGCGGCGGACGGCGACGGTGAGAGGGCTCAGGGGGCGGGGCCTGCGGAGGGCGGGCTAGGGCTTGGGGGCGGAGTAGTTGTGGGCGGGACCTTTGCCAAGGGGCGGGGTTTGGGCGGGGCCTGAAGCGCTGTTCAGTGGAAGGCGAAGCTGGGGCAGGGTCTAAATCAGCCAGATGGGCTAGGCCGGGGGACGTCGCCCATGGAATAGGTGCATAGTTGATGGGCGGAGTCTGCGATGCTGGGACCCGGCCGCGGAATCGAGTGATAGGAAGGCAGAGATATTGCGCGAGGCGGGTGAGTGGTCCTCATGGCAGGTGGCCTCTCACTAGAAGGCTGAGTTGGTTCGTGAGAGACAGGGCCTATGCGAATGGAGGCTAGAAGGAGGATAGGCTTGGAAAGTGAGGAAATGAGCTACTAGATCGCTGTCTAAGAATGGGTGGATCCTCAGAAGGGTGGGCCTTGAAGCAGGTGACTTTAGGTTAGATTGGCTGCAAACCGTGAGAGGGGTCTTGAGGGCAGTGCACGAGAAATGAAGAGGTATCTGTATAGGCGGAGGACCAGGCTACCTGGGGGCCTAGCATTTGGCTCTGCGGTAAAGAATCCACCTGCTAGTGCAGGAGATGCAGGTTCAATCCCTGGGTCGGGAAGATCCCCTGGAGAAGGAAATGGCAACCCACTCCAGTATTCTTGTCTGGAGAATCCCACGGTCAGAGGAGCCTGGCAGGCTACAGTCCACGGGGTAGCCAGAGTCAGACACGACTTAGCGCCTAAACCACCACGACCAATATTCTTGCCTGGGAAATCCCATGGACAAAGGAGCCTGACTGACTACATTCCATGGGTTCACAAAGAATCAGACACGACTTAGCGACTAAGCAAAAACAACTGGCCCATGGCAGTTGCTAAGTAAAGAATGGCGATTATAACCATCGTTATTCCACCCCCCCCCCGAAAAAGCATTCACTGGACACCTTCTGTGAGCCACACATTACCTAGGGCACTTGGGGAGTACAATGGGGACACTGACAAGTGAGGTTCCTGTCTCCTAGATTCCACAGCCCAGTGAGAAACGCATCAATTCACTCATTCAGCTCATTTCCACTGGGTACCAGTTAGGTGTCAGTGTGCTGCGTGTGACAAAGTTCATAGTGCCCAGCACGGCTCTTCTTTGCTTCGACTTGGAATATCAAGAAAAGGTGTTCAAGAGGAAGTGATTTCTCTTTCGCTTGGTGCAGGATCTTCTCAGTTCATCGCAAAGTTCCTAACACCTAGAACAGTGCCTGGCACATAGCACGGGTTCAAAAATTACCAACTGAAAGAATATATGAATTTATGAGTTGAAATTACAAGATAGGTAGGACTCAGGCAGGAAGTGTGTTCCAGGCACAGGGAACAGCATATGCAAAAATCTAAATGTAGGAAGCAGCCTCACTGCAGCCAACTGTCTATAATCTCTAGCTCTCTTAAGTGTGTCTCTCCCTTTGTTTCTTTCCAGTCTGTCTCATCGCTCTCCATCTCTCTCCGCAGGCACAGGCGCCCCTTCGTGGCGGCCACAGAAGAACCGCTCCCGGGCGGCGTCCGGTGGGGCGGCGCTGGCCAGTCCCGGCCCGGGGTCTGGGTCAGGGACTCCGGCTGGGTCCGGGGGCAAGGAACGCTCGGAAAACCTGTCCCTGCGGCGGAGCGTATCGGAGCTCAGTCTGCAAGGTCGGCGGCGGCGGCAGCAGGAGCGCAGACAGCAGGCACTTAGCATGGCCCCAGGGGCAGCCGACGCCCAAATTGGACCTGTAGACCCCGGCGACTTCGATCAGTTGACGCAGTGCCTCATCCAGGCCCCCAGCAACCGCCCCTATTTCCTGCTGCTGCAGGGCTACCAGGACGCCCAGGTAAGCACAGCCTAACCTACAGAGAGAGACCTATGTCCCACCCTTTGGTTGAATGGGCGACAGAACTACAACTCCCAGAATTCCGTGGGTCGCGTTAGTCTCAAGTTCGTTGGAAGGTAGCGCTGGCAAGTGGTGAAGAACCCATCTGCCAATGCAGGAGACCAGGAAACATAAGAGACACGGGCTCGATCCCTGGGTCGGGAAGGTCCCCTGAAGGAGGGCGTGGCAACGCACTCCAGTATTCTTGCCTGGAGAATTCCCATGGACAGAGGAGCCCGGCAGGCTGCAGTCCATAGGATTGCAGAGTCTGACACGACTGTAGCGACTTAGCATGCACACACATGGTTCCAGTCAGGTTCTAGAGGAGGAAATACTATCAGAGAAGAGAGTGGGAGGGTCCAGATAGATCTCGGAGAAGTATTTCACTGGAGGGATAAGTAGGCGATGACTCATACCGTTCAAAGTTGGGGGAAAGCACTGTCTCCCATCAGAAAAGATTGGGAGAGCCTGTTTTATTTTTATTGGCTGCACCACGCTGCTTACAGGATCTTAGTTACCTGACCAGGGATTGAACTCGAGACTTGGCCGTGCAAGCCTGATTCCTAACCACTAGGCTACCAAGGAATTCCCAGGAGAGCCTATTTTAGAACGATCCTCTTGGAAAGCTTCTATTTCTTGAGGAGGAGTGATGGAAGAGTGTCTCCTGGGGAGAGAGCTAATTTGATTGATATATGGAATCTTGTCCTGGGTAAGCCTATATGGTCTTGGAAGAAGTGGATTACATCACTTTTTAAAGTTGATGGTTTACTCTGGAAGGATTTTGACCATTGTCAATGGGGGCCAGTGGTACTGGTTCTTCTATTTTACATATTTGAATGGCGATAAGAGAACCTGTTTGAGTGTGGGGAGCAGAGAGGAAGAAAGGGTTAGCAGTTGGGGGTCAGTCAGTGCTAAGTTATTTCATTAAAGAAATGTATTATTGAAAATATTCATGTGTGTGTGTAATGATGATGATGATTAGGGCTTCC